CACCCCCACCTGCTCCCTGCTCACCGGTTCACCGGCCGCTCTGTGTCCAGCAGCTTGAGGATGGACTTCCCATCCATATCTGCGGGGATGTCCAGGCCCGCGATGTCCAGGATGGTGGGGGCCAGGTCGATGTTGAGGACGATGTGAGGGTTCCTGGGGAGGCAGGGTGATGGGGGACTCAGCCACCCAGGGGGCGGGGCCCAGCCTCGTCGGGAGGGCAGCTGGTGGGCTGTGGGCCGTGGCCGATGCCCAGAGGTGGGAAGCCGTGACCCTGTCACCAGCCAGCACCGCGGCCCTCAGCAGCTCCCCTCTGTGACCTGAATGCAGCCGAGGCCCTACCCCGGCATCCCTGTCACACCCACGGTCCCTGCCCTCCAGACGTACTACAGTGGGGGCCGGCCCTCTCCACTGCTCCCTGCCTGCTTCCTGAGCAAGGGCTACCCATATTGAGAGCCAGCCCAGCCCCGGACCCTCCAGACCCACACCCTGGACCTCTGAGAGAAGCACCGGCCCCTCCTGTCCCCTCTGCCTGGCACATCCATCCTCCAGAGACCAGCATGTCCCCATCCTTGCTCAACTGTGCCAAGGAGGCCTGTGACGGACCGCCACCCTGGTGACCACACCTTCGTGTGGCCCCTCGCCTGGGCAAACCCGGACTCAGCGCTGGGCTGTCACTGCTGGGCTTCTGCGATGGGACGTTCAATATGTCTTGCGTGCGGTCCCGCCCTTATCTCTCCCCCCTCGCCGGCTTTGAAGAAGCAGGACACCACGGCTTCACCCCCAGCAAGGATGTCCGGTGACCGTCTGGGAGGTGGCTGTGTGAGTTCCAGTCTCCTGCTTGCACTTGACCAGCTCTGTGAGCGGGGAGGTGGGTACTTCCCCAGTCGAGCCTCTGGATGAGACAGCCCTGGACAACACCTGGACTTCAGCCTGAGCAGAGGACCCTGCGAGGCTGGCCCACGGACACAGGCAGGTAATTCATGCGTGTTGTCCAACACTATCCAGCTTGGTGGCCATTTGTTCTGCAGCAGACACCGGTGCAGGCCCTTGCCGCCCGTGTCACACCCCCCCCCCCCCCCGCCTTTCTCCTGAAGGCTCATCACCTTCCTGGAGACTACAGTTTCCTCGTTTGGCCTTGTTTACTTTCTACAGCCCAGTTAGACTCTAAATGCAGGAAGGCTGATACCTTTGTATTCTCAGGACTGAGATACCTAGAACAAAAAAGTGGTGCTCAGTAAAGACAAGCCAAATGAATGGCCACGTATCTGCCACCTCTCCTATCTGCTGTCCCCAGCTGGTGGTGTTCCCGGTGTCGTGGTAAGGGACTTAGGGACCTCTTGAATGAATGATGGACGCATGGCCCATCAGGGTAGCCTGTGTCCCCCACCCACCCCAGTTCCCTGAGAACGTGAGGCTTGGGTCCAAGGGTCTAGGTCACCATTAACCCTCTCTGTCCCAACCCAGTGCCCTGGGAGCACCAGGCAGGCTGCCAGGCATGCTGTGGGGCCTGGGGGGAGCAGCGGGGGAAGGTGGGCTGACGGTGCACCCTTGCGGGGCTCAAAGGCCAGGTGAGGCATGGTCACTTGATCGGGAGGCTCGGGATCTGGAGAGGACTCTTGAGGGAGGGGTGTGATGCTGCAGTTCCCAGTGGCAGCTGATGGGACCGAGGCTGTCCACCTGTTCTGCTCCCAGGCTGAGTGGACGGCTGGGGCTGCAGCTCCCTGCCGGCCTCCATGCCTTGTCTGTGATAACAGCTTCCAGTTCTGGGGGAGCTACAGACCCCATTCAGATTCTGCTTCCTGATGTACTCAGCCTGGTCAGTCATGCAAGGTTTCCTACCACCCCGGCTATGGTAACTGGTTCAGGGAAGGACACGTGACCAACGTCAGGCCTGTGGGAGCCAGCCTCAGGTTTTCTGTTCAAACCAGTTTGGTTTCCTAAACTGGATGGCGGAGGATCTGGAGCTCTTGACCCTGATGCCAGGAGAGAAAAGCCTGCCTGAGATCGAAGCCAATCTGAAGGAAGCAGGGCTGAGAGAGTGAAGTCAAGTGCTTCCTAATGGCATCATATGACCACTGGATCCAGCCATGCCTGAAGCCAGCTACCTTCAGCCTTTTCAATTACTTTAGTTGCTACACTCCCTTGATCTAATTTGCCTTATCTGGTTGGAAGGTCATTTCTTCCTGTAGCCAATGGAGTCCTGGCTGAAAGATATTCTGTATCTTCCACCCCAAACCTGACATTCGCACTCTCTCTCTTCCACATGGGATGTGGTTTTGGGTCCTATGAGCCAGATTGCAGACTCCACAGTGTCAGTATCTGCAGAGACCCTGGTGGGTCGAATCCTTTCTGTTCACAGGGATGCTTAAGGATTGAGCACATGGTGTAGTGGATGGGAAGAAGGACCGGCTGGCTTCTGATCCAGCTGCCTTACTTGCTGTGTGAACTCGGGCAGTTTCTACTCTCTGTGCCTGTGTCCCTAGATATAACATGGAAGACAAGTGCTCAGACCAGGACCCGAGGAGTCAGCACTGCACAGAGAGGGCTGCATTCTCACGACTGTCCCTATGGGTGGGAACATGGGTCAGGCGAGATCTGAGGGGCCAACAGTCACTGCTCTCCCTGGACTTGAACTCACACAGCCTGCCACCTGGAATTCCCACTGAGCATCCTCGGCAGCGGAAGCAAGTCAGTCCGGAATTCTTTGTTTGAATCGGAGTCTCCCTCCATCAACCAGGCTCATGGCCACTGCAGCCTCGACCTGCTGGGCTCAGGCGATCCTTCTGCCTGAGCCTTCCAAGTAGCTGGAACCACAGGCATGTGCCACCATGCCTGGCTAATTTTTTGAATTATTGTAGAGATGCGGTCTCGCCAAGTTGCCCAGGCTGGTCTTGAACCCCTGGGCTCAGGCAGTCCTTTCGCCTCGGCCTCTCAAAGTGCTAGGATGACAGGATGAGCCCGGCAAGTCAGTCTTGAATTCCATACTGTGCCGTCACCTCCTCACAGAACTCATGCCCAAGCCCCATGGGACTGTGAGCCTATGCAGGTGTGGACGGAGGTCGGACCAGGTGAGAGACTCGTGGCTCACCTGCTTGTCAAAACAACCATCCGAGGCGGTCCCTGCAGCATCCTGGCAGGTGCGAGGGGGCTGATACCGTGACTACCTGGCCCTTCTGTCCCTCCCTGCCCCCGACGTCGCACTTCTGCTTCCAGACATGTCTTCTCACAGGCTGACCCGACGAGAATGGCTGGCTGGGGGCCGCAGCCCATGTGCTCCTCCAGGAGGGGCCAGAGGGGAACCGGTTCCCTTTGTGCCGTTCCAGGAGCCGGCTCAGCTGATCCCAGCCGAGGACTGGCTGCCTGGACCGAGGTCCATGTTCCTCGCTGATCATCTCCAGGCCCAGGGACCGCCCAGCCCAGGACAAATCCAACTGCTACCGCCCCCAATGGTGACACGTACATGTGCATACACATGCAAATACAGCCCAGCTCCCTGGACTTCCTGGCGTGGGACCCCAGCACGCCCAATGTTTTTGCAGGTGCTGATGGCTCCTGGCCCCTTCTTCCCCACCAGAGGGTGTAAAACGCATCAGAATCCACCCTGGTGACATCATCGCTTTCCATCAGCCCTAGGGTTCCCCTGCCAAGATCATGTACCATCCAGGATGTGGCCTGGACTCTGGTGGAAGCCAAAGGGCCGAGCCTGGAGGCCCCAGAACCCTGGAAAGGGATGCACTTACAGAGAGCCGGCCTCCACGTTCGGGCCCCTCACGTAGAACGGGACCCTGATGTCAAACTCATAGGGCATGGACTTCCCCTTCACCAGGCCAAACTGGCCGATGTGGTAGCCATGGTCAGCAGTGTAGACGATGTACGTGTTGTCCAGCTCGCCCGTCTCAACCAGCATGTTATAGATCTGTAACACAGGCAGGGGATGAGGGCAGTGGGGATGCGTGCCTGGTCCATCTCTGACCCGTGACAGGTGCTCGAGGCCTCAGCCCCACCTCCCTGCCCCAGATCTTTGCTCCCCAGACCCTGGCCTCTCAGCAAGCCCCTGTGACTGTCCCTGGCCTCTCCGTGCAGGTAGGGCAGGGACTTTGGTCCTTTCGTCCTCTGCCTGCTGTATCCCGTGTACACTGGCACTCAATAAATGCTGTCAAATGAATTGAATGAATGAAGCTGGGCTGTGGTCTGTGGCAGGAGTTTGTGATCTGAAACAGTGTTGTCCGATAGAACTTCCTACGACGGCGGCCATGTTAGTGCCTGTGCTCTCTGGTATGGTGGCCATGGGCCACGGCGGCCTCCTGAGCCCGTGAAACGAGGCTGGTGTGGCTGAGGAACTGGATTTTATTTTATTTTATTTTTTTTGAGT